TTTACGTATTCTAGGAAACATTTCCAAGATTCTGGGATGGCAAAGCACGGGGCCCTTAAGGAAGGGGTTGGGTCTTCTCTCCTTCTTGTGAAAGGTTCACTGCTTCAGTATTTACTGCTTTGGAAGCACGCGAAGTTCCCAACACCGTTAGCGAAACCTTACAACAACACTTAAAAAGAGACCAATCCACGCACAGTACACGGCTACAGACACACTATTGATGATGGAGAACCTTCAAAGCATGTTTCTTTCCCTCCTGGTGGCAGAACACGCAGTACGGAAGCATCCTACCTGTAACGCCCCGTGTAATTCTTCAGCGTTAAACAGCACAGTCCTCTCTTGAAAGCTACGGCGACCCCACGCCCTTTCCTTTGTACACAGACTCTTAAGAACGCCCCCTCCGCACACTGCCCCTTTGGTATATGCCTCGTTGTACTGCTGTGTCATATGCTATGCACGTGTCAGAAACCATTAGCATTGCATGCAGGTTTCATATTCTTTCTAAGACAAAAAGAAAAGTAATAAAATATATTTGAAACGTACCCAAATTCTAGACTACTGACTTTTTTTCTATCCAGTGAGGCCAGGATGACAACCATATGTTTACCACGTTGTGAATAAACTGGGACAAGTGCACTGAGAAGGAAGGAAAACTGGCGTTTCCCAAATACCTGTCAATAGCGTCACCTTTGCGGGATGCCGTCACAGTCCTAAAACCAGAAAGCTAGGTCTTAAAGTCTCAGGATGGGTTCATCGGATTAACCAGGTCCATACAGATGGAATTAAAGGGTCACAGTAGGGTCTCCATTTAGGGAAGATGGCAGATGGGGGGCCAGTCAAGATCCCTGTGGTCCAGGCCCCCATGATTCCACTGGGGTGCAGGGAGAGTTGGAAAGTGCCCAGCTCGAGGCTGTGGGGCTCTGGAGCCAGGCTGTCTGGAAGGCACATCCAGAGAGATGCTGAAGCTCTCTTTCTGCTTCTGCAAGCCGGGGGTGCCGAGCGCATACCTACTCAGGATACCAGGGCATGGTGAGTGCATGGTAAACGTCAGCACCCTTAATATTCACAAGATCTGGCCTGTCCGTACTTTGCACAAACCACCCACAACCCCACAGCCCACTGTATCCAAGGTGGTGGACAGGCCTCCCTGTGCCCACCTGTGTCCCCCACAGTCCACAGGACTACCTAAAGGGACAGCCACCCTGTCCACACTTCTTGTTCACTACGCAAGGAACCAGCAGCCAGGCACTCAGGTGCACTTCACCTCTGAGGACAGTTTCCTGACATGCACAGCTGGTTCTGCCAGCACTCAGGGGGACATACAGCAAGCACCCTGCCCTGGCGTGTCCTCAGCAGAGAGCGACTATCGACCCTTTCCAGCACGGCCTCACCTCCTGACAACGCCAAGTTATACCAACTGTATTCCTGAGGAAACTGAGGACCAGAGGGGTGAAGAAATTTGCCCATGGTCACTCATCACACTGCTCCAACAGCTGAGCCTGACAGCGTTTCTGCTGAGGAGAGTAGGAGAGAGTGGGCGAGTGCCACTATACCAGGGCTTAGTCCCACCTTTCCCTGTGTTACAGAGAGAGAAGGAAGACTGGACAGGGACACCAGACACCGACAGACAGAACAGAGGAGGAGAGTCCCAGTAAGAGGGTGCATACCAGGGCCGGGGAGAGCAGAGGCCAGGCCTCTCTCCCTGGGAGCCCTGAACCCTGCTTGGCCCCAGATCAGCACGCCGGGGGGCCTCATGAGGCAGGCCCAGTGTAAGAAGTCAGCTGCAAGAGCCCCTCCACCAGCCTGGCAACGCAAAGGCACAACAGCATGGGGCCACAGGGCATGGGGTTCTCTGTGATGCAACATGAGTTTCAGGCTTCACCTTCCGCTCACTCTAAACACACCACACACGCATCCTCCCCCTGCTCTCTCTGTCCCATCTGTGGTTCCAGGACGAGTACCTCCTCCCCAGCCCTGCTGGTCCAGGTGTCCCCTTGGTTCTCTGACCTCCCAAAGCACAGAATGGATTCCTAGGAACAGTAACGATGTCCCTTCATGGCATGCCAGGCACTGACCCGGGCCCTTGCCCTGCACACTTTATGTCCACCCTGCCAGCCATGCTGTGCTGCAGGGGCCCAGACAGGTCGAGAAATTTGTTTAGGAGACACAGACAATCAGTAGAGGGAGAAGTGGACTTCGAGCCCTAGTGTGTCAGGGAGCAGAAGGGGGGAGAGACTTTGTGTAAATATCTCCTCTTCTATAGAGACCATGTGTCCCTGGAGAACAAACCCTGGGCTATGCTTCCTGGATGGCTTAGACGCTGTCCACCAACAGACGATTATTAGCTGGACCACTAAGAATAGGCTCTGGGCCCCAACACTTCACCAAACACCAAACAAGGGTCCTCCGATGCCAGACACTGGGCTCTGCCCAGGGAAGATGCTGATTACACAGCTGTTGTTCATCCTTTTTCTCCTTGGGCCTTCTCAGCAGCCCTATGAGATATCCACCTACCACATTCCAGAAAGGAGAAGGACTCTAGTGCAGCAAAGCAAGGCCAGGCCACCTTTCCACGTGGCTCTCCTGGGCCTCCCTGGGGAGGCATGCAAGGGCACTGGGGCACACAGGCAGCCCAGGCCCCCATGCAGGCTCCACCTCCAGAACCACTGCTTCCTCAAAGTGGGGCACAGCTTGAGTTCCAAATGCCACACCCCCGACCCCTTCCTCCTCCAGTTTCCTGAGCAGTCCGCAGCGCCACACCAGGCTTGACGCCAGGATGGCCACATCCTCATGAGTTCTGGCCCAGCTCTCTGCCCGGCCAAACCCTCTACCGCGAGCTTTTCCTGGTCAGCTGGGACACCACATCAGGACCAGCTACATAACTGCAAGGCCCGGGCCAAAAGAAAGATGCAGGACCCTCTATTCAAAAATTAAAAATGTCAAGATAGCAAGACCAGAGCATCAAACCCCAGCACAGGGCTCTGTGTAACTCACATGTGGCAAGCCCATGGAGCCAGCCTTCTAGCAACTCTAACACCCATCCAGACAGCTCACCTTGGCCCTGAGTTATTATACGACTTGTTCTCCACAATTTACATTTTTTAAAAAAATTTTTTAACGTTTTATTTATTTTTGAGACAGAGAGAGACAGAGCATGAGCGGGGGAGGGCAGAGAGAGAGGGAGACACAGAATGGGAAGCAGGCTCCAGGCTCTGAGCCATCAGCCCAGAGTCCGACGCGGGGCTCGAACTCACGGACCGCGAGATCGTGACCTGAGCCGAAGTAGGACGCCCAACCGACTGAGCCACCCAGGCGCCCCTGACTTGAATATCCAACAAGATGTGCTCCTAGGAGCCAGGGACCATGTCTTACACTCCTTTGTAAAAACCTCCCAGAACCTAGGACAACACCTGTGAGGTACTCAAACACTGTGAATTAATCTTCGTCTGGAGCACCCTCAGAGCACGCTCTCTGCACCCACTTACTGAGCTACCACTGCGTGCAGAGGCCTGCAGCGAACACCGTGGGGAACACAGGTCTGGTGAGGTGCCGTCCCGTCCTCACGGCCAGAGTCCACGGTTCATCCACCCAGCCACTGTCTCATTAGGAAGCATTTGCTACATGTCACACACCGTGTTGGTTGCTGGGAATGACCCCTCCAGAAACTCCCAGGCTACGAGGGAGTCACAAACCCAGTTGAAACTGCCTGCTGGTCTAAGCACACTATGCTAGAGGGCTGTGTGGCCAATTTCGGGGCTACTCCAAAGGGAGAGCCCACCTAGTCCTGGAGGAAGCAACCCCTGACCAAGACCTCTACCAGCCTGGAGAGGGCTCATGGCAAACTGCCGGTAGTTCTCAGACAAAAACAGGAAGTGTTGATTCCGGCCTGGCTCTGATGTGGCCTGTGGTTTCTGTGTCCAGTGGCGATAAGGCAGGCCAGCAAAGACAGGGAATACCACAGGGACTGCTGGAGGAATTCAGAACACCACCCATGCCCCAGTTGAATGTCCAGGGAAACCAGCCACAGCTCCAACATCTACCCCCCATTTCATGCATGTCTCTTCCTCTCCCTTGTCTTTGTCTGCTCTCTGGCCTGCCCAGTGATACCATGGCTGCGGCCAGCCTCCCCAACCTTCTGGGCAAGCAAGCCGACCACAGCTTTTCTGGGCAACCTCCCACACAAGGAAGACATCATCCCGCTTTAGGTACCTCAGGGTATTCCCCTGTCCTCCTCTTTTTGAAAAGTTGAAAAGATATTCTCAGAGGTCATCAAGAAAGCAAGAAAACCCAAATTGTCTTACTTTGAAGGTAACCTCTCCCAGCTTCCTGCTCTCCAGATCGCTCTGATATTTGCCACCAGAGGGCAGCAAAGAGCAGATGTACCTGAGCCCAGGGCTCTCCGAGGTCCCCCGGGGGCCGTGTGAGAACAGTGACAGCAGTGAACCAGACAGCCAGTGAAACCCTGTACTGAGGACCTGCTGTGCCTTATCGCACTGAATCCTGCAAACAGCCATAGCAGGGGCTTCTATCAGTAGCTCCCTTTCACGGATGAGAAAACCAAGGCTTAGTGAAATGAATGCACTGTCCACATTCATGAAGCTACCAGGCAGTAGACACAGGATTCGAACCCAGCTGTATCTGGCAGGGCTTTTGCGCCCTGAAGTGCACACTGCCTCCCGGTTCCTGCTGACCCCGGGCCCACAGAAGACTGCTCTGCCCTCACCTGGGGCTTTACTCTTGTTTAGAGAACAGAGATCAATCATGCACTTAACCTGGACCACCCAGAGCGCCAGGCTTAGCCAGGCTTGTCCTGAGTGTGCCTCATTCATCTTTTGGAGGCTAAAGATTGCAATCACCACACACTCCTCCGGGCTTGTCCCGCTGACCCAACAAAGTGAGCCCAACACGTGCGCAACGGCTGCTCTTGGCCCACGTCCGGCAGACGAAAATTCTGCTTGAGAACCAGCAGCCACAGCCTTTTCCCGCAGCCACCAAGAAGGCTGAGCAAGCAAGATGGCTCTGCTGTGCTAGCATCAACTTCGACTCGACCTTTAAGCTCGAAACAAGGTGAAACCATTTTTGGTTTCAAAAAATTAATTCAAAGCTGGATTTGAAAGAATCAACCCCACTTCCTAATGAGAGTTGACATTGTGGGATGAGTTGCAGGCATGTCTAATTGGATGCAAATGAAACTCTCATCTCCTATTCAACGTTATTCCCCTGGAGCAAAAGGGAAGGTGGAAGCAAGCAACAGGCTCTTTCTTTCAATCCATTGTTTCCTAAGAATGTTTCTAAATTACAAAGGCTTTTGTCCCTCGAAATAATGGCCTGCAAAGACAGATCTAATTACTTGCATTAATAGAGTCAAAAAAAAATATTATAAACCGAGAGAATAATGAGAGAAAGAATACCCTCCAAGTCCTTGATAGCTGCTAAGATACCAACCCTGCTGATTTCCTGCACTTGGAAGAGCAACCAAGTTTAATAGAAACTGTAACCGCCACCACAAATGGTATTTATCGAGTGCTTTCTCAACAAACGCTGTCCGTAGCCCCGTTTTACAGATGGAGAACTTAAGGCTTAGAAAGTTGAGTATCTTGTGCATGTTCACACAGTGGCCAAGGGGGTCTTGATTTTCGTTTGGACACTTCCAGGTAGGGTGACCATATGTCCTGGTTTGTCTGGGACAAGCCTGGTCTATGACTGCTGTCCCAGGGAAATGATGAAGAGTGTTCCCTTTTGCTCATTTCAAAGAGTTCTAGGGTGGTTGATACACTGTGATCACACAGTGAGTACACTGGGCCTGGCAGGAGAGTACACAGGGCATGGGATTGTGCGGTATCTGAGACATGCTTCTTCAATTTCCCCCCTTGAACAACCTAGTTCGAAGCAAGCGTTGGCCCTTTGGAAGAAATGGTGCCTCTTTAACACCAAAGAGCACCCTACAGAATCCGGGGCAGTCTCCCGGTTTCTCCTGCTCCACCCTGGCCTGCCTGTCTGGCTAGATAAAGACTGGAGCTGACTGACTGACACCCATGGACTGTTCTCTTTGGGGGAGGAGGGGGGGCAGGCACATGGTACTCTGGAGACCCATCTGTTCAGTGAAGGTCCAAATCCAAATCCCTACCCCCTCTCCATGTGTCTGAAATTCCCCAGACAACTGGAGTATCAGACTCTGGTTTCAAGAGAACAAAATCAGCCAAGGGGCTGTACTTCCCAGAGGACTGAGGTAAATCGTTCCTTGACAATTCGGTTGGCACACTCTGTGAGGGGTAACGGGGATATGCGTGGGCCATTGACATCCTATTGTGATTCAGGGATGGAGAGCTGAAGCATATCCAGGGGACTGGGGAAACCCCCCCCCCCCCCCCCCCCCCCCCCCCCCCCCCGCAGACCCACAGTGCATTCCCTCCCCCTACATCAGTTCTGAACTGCCTGCTCCAACTGCCTGCTGCCGGATTTGGTCAAGTCTGGATTGCTTTCCTTAAAGGCTCCTTCTGAGCCTGGAAGGAGCTGAGGTGAGAGAGGGCATGGCCCCAACTCGCAGGCTAGGCTGGAGCCTCACCTTGCAGGGCCACCTGAGCTGGGGCAGCGCTGGGGGGCACGGGAGTCCTTCAGGCTCCCTGACTCAGCTGTCCTCTCCGTATTTAGCCCCATAGGCTGGCGTCCTGCTCCCGAGGCTTCAGGGTACATCCAGCTGCTGCTCTGCCTGACCTGACCTGTCCCAGATCCTTAAGGGGTTTTCTGGACCTCTCCCCTCCCCCAGCCATTCAAAGAGCCCCTCATGGGACAGATACACAGAAGGGACCCAGGCCCCAGCTCCACGTCCCATCCCCAAGTGTCTACAAGGCTGAGAACACAGGCTGTGAGCCAGATGGGCCCATTCAAATCCTGGCTCCTCTTTTTTTTTTTTTAAGTTTATTTATTTATTTTGAGAGAGAGAGAGAGAGAGAACAATTGGGGGGGGGGGGGCGAGGGACAGATGATCCGAAGCAGGCTCTGCTCTGACAGCAGAAAGCCTGATGTGGGTCTCAAATTCAAGAAATGTGAAGTCACGACTTGAGCTGAAGTCAGACGCTTAATGAACTGAGCCACCCAAGGCACCCCCTGGGTCCTCTCCTTAAAAGCTAAATGACCATGGGCAAGTGACTTAATTTCTCCCAGCCCAACTTTGTAGGGCTGTAGTGGGCATTAAATGAAATAAATGTCTCAACACAGAAAGTAAAAGTCAATACATGGTTGCTTATTGTTATTATTATCCTGCCTTTAAAATTTGCAACATGAGGCACCTGGGTGGCTCAGTCGATTGAGCATCTGACTCTTGATTTCAGCTCCGGTCATGATCCCAGGGTTGGGGGATTGAGCCCCTCGATGAGCATGGAGCCTGCTTAAGATTCTCTCTCTCCCTCTACCCCTCTTTCCTGCTCATGCTCTCTAAAATTAACAACAAAAATAAATAAAATTTCCAACATAACATCACGTCTGCTAGGCATAAAAGGGCCAGTGGCACCTGGGTGGCTCATCAGTTAGGCGTCTGACTCTTGATTTGGGCTCAGGTCACAATCTCGTAGTTTGTGGGATTGAGCCCAGCCATCCAGCTCTGTGCTGACAGCACGGGGCATCCTCGGGATTCTCTCTCCTTCCCTCTCTCTCTCTCTCTCTCTCTCTCAAAATAAATAAATAAACATTTTTTTAAAAAGCTACATGTGGGGACACATATCTATCAAGAAAAGAATTTGGAACCTTCTGAGAACTTTCCTACCTCAGTTTCATCACATACAATGGGAAAAAAATAATAATACTTAACCTCAAAGATTTTTTTAAAACACTAAATGAGACAGTGCAAGTAGAATATGTAAAACTTTGTGTGGCACATAATAGGCACACATAAATTGGCAGCTAATAATAACAACAATTTCACGTTACTCACAAGAATATATTTAACAGTTTAACAAAGACTCTTACGTCTGGGAGAAAAACCACCTTAAAGTACAGTCATACCTTACACCCAATAGCTCAATTTCTTTAAAATTATGTGTTTTTAAACTGCTTTGGGATGCTAGCGCCCCTCCCCCAAAATTTACTGATGAATGCTGTTTCCTTCTCCCCGAAAAACACGCACAGACTATTTTACAAACAATTTCAGGAGATTCTGGGATTACCCCGAAGTCATCTTTACGGTTCCTTAGACTCTGTGTGAGCAAGTCCTATCTTAGACCACCCCAGATGGGGCATCCAGAGGCTGCCTGAATGCTTCTACTACTACCGGGAGCCTCACAAGGCATAAAGCAGCTCACTCCGTGGTTGGAAAAGTGCTAAAAAGTTGTACGATTCTTCCTTGAATCAGGAAACTGAAAGATGCTTCCCGAGGTCTATCTTTGGAGCAACACAGAGGTAGTATCAGGGGCCAACCCTTGACATTTGTGGAAAGCAGGACCCATGCTCTGACGGGTCTGATCTCTCCAGGCTAACCTGTGTGCCCTCCCAGCCATTCCAGGTGATGGCTTCCAGGCCCTCTGCCATCCAGGTCGCGGTGCCCAAACCACCTCCTGCATGGCTGTGGGTCCTTTCCTTTATCTAGGACACTGTGCTTGTAGGGACCCTCCTAAGTCTGAGCTACTGTTCTTAGCCACCTCATCACATCCATTAGGCAAGCAATGAACTGATCGCCAAGGCCTCATCGTACAAGAGCAGAGTTTCATGCCACACATACTCCCACTCCAACCTTTCATCTGGCCACCTGATCTTTTGAACCTAAGCCCACCACTATACATCTGTCCCAATCAAATTTAGTCTCACCGATTTCTTCCCTGACATTCTAAATCCCTCGGGAGTGTTTGAAATTCACATGCTATCAGCCGGTATATTAACTCTGTCTCTCAGCTTTGAGACATTTGCAAATCGCATCCAAGATAAGCCAATCAATAAGACTTACACATCTCCCTGTGTTAAGCTCGGGGCAAAGTGCCTTACACATGTTCTCGTTAAATTTTCACATCAACTCTATGAACTAGGCATCGACGTCTGTACTGTCAGCCCTGTTTTATGAAACAAAATGGAGTCTGACGGAGAGTCCGTCACTCGCATAACAGCCGAGGTACTAAACAGCTGAGCCGCAATTTCAACTCAGCCTTGTCCAAGCCGTACTATTTCACCACACCTTCGGCATTTCTACACTGAATGGCATTTTTATTTCTAGAAACGTCTGTCACTGCACCCAGGCTGTGGGATCTCTGGTAATAGTGAATGGGTTTTGTCTCTGAATTCCCAGCCCCTGGCAAGTGCCTGGGGCAGAGGAGTTGTTTCAAGACCAGTAGAGAAAGGAAAGCAGGGAGAGGGGTCACCAGGGCCGGTGTGAGAGAAAATGCTTCTAGAGCTGAGCCATGAAATTCAGGTTCTTCCTTAAGAGCATTTAATCTACCCTGTGGAAACTTAAGATACGTTGCGGTCCACACATG